AGGTGAATTATTATGTAAAGTAGAATATATTTGATTAACTCTTTCTATGATATTGTAAGATCTTCCATATATGTATATTTATACAATATATTTAGACTTCTCTTAGCCTATACTGTACTCTTTGACTCTATATATATAATAATAGGTAGTTGTATATATAATTTACCTAACCTTAGCGTTAATTTCTTTAATCTAGACTTGCGTGTAAGTGCTAATAATTTATGTCTAGCCAGTTTGCCCTATTAATACAAATATTAGTTACATGTATAGAATATTTCTTAATTAACAACTAGGTTAGTTACTAAGTATTAGTCATATAGATAACAAATAATATAGATTAGATTGTAAAATAAGATTAGCTCGTCTCAATAACTCAGTTTGAAAGTATAAGTGTACACGTTCAATGTTTCGTCGGTGTGTTAGGACGTATAGGTATCTGCCAGCTCGGTTTATATTTATCTTACATGGGAACATCCATTTCTTACGTACTTACAGCACAGAGCGACACTCCCAAATTACTGCCGCTAACACCGTACACACGCAAACGTTAATCTATAATAGCAAACAATATCTAAACACATGGGGATACGTAAAACTGAAACAATGTGTTCAGATTCTTACATAATTCGGGTCGGCCATTCGAGCGGCACGCAAGCGAATTTCGCTCTTACACACACTAGTATTTAAGCTAAGATTTTCCATTTTCCATACACCATAGCTATTTCTGAGCTGCGCCGGCGACTTTTAACCTTGAATAGGAAACGCACCTTTAATTTTAGCCGGATAACCTACATACGGAACCATTTCAAGAGGGTGGTCGATAATCGCATGCGCGGTGTCTACGTGGTTTTTTTAACTGTTGGCGGTGGTTTGGCGGGCTAGGTATGCCGGGGCCCGAAGTTCGCGACCGACTGAGCCAGAGATGTGGTCTACGCAGGCGCTTTACAGCGCGCACCTAACGATCGCGCTCTGTGAAAGGTTGGCACTGGTACTACGCTCGCATATGAGAACAGGTGTTTCGAGATATTAATGGCTGATTGTTATGGCATTTACCCTACTTGTTAGTATATATATGGTGATTTTTGGCAACATTGTAACAAGTCAATAAAAACCCTAAGTATGTTTTGCATAGAATTTTTTTTTAAATTATTTTATATAATAACAATTTAAATATAACGTACCATGTACTTTTAATCATGATGTAAACGTATAATTGATGAACCGTATGAAATTAAAAATAATCTCAACTGGAATAACTTCGCGCATCAGTGGCGCTCCAAGCGGTGGAAATCTGAACCCTTGACTGAAAGCTAGCGCCGAGCAGATTGTCTTTTTCTTGTCTATTCATTGGTAATTTTGATATATATATATATAGACTGAAATCGTCATCACTTCAATGAGACTTAAATCAAAAACTTTTATTTAAAACTCTCTTATTACGACCAAACTTATGAATGTCAATAGGCATATTGTATACATAAATCTAATTTATTTAGAATGTAGGAATAGGTGTGTAGGAATTCTGCAATGACATTACGCCATCTATATTCGATTTTCTGTACTAGAAATGACGTCATATGGAAAAATTAATTCGACTGTACGCAACTCGTAGCGACATCTGTTGAAATTTTCACGAAGTTATCAATAGAGGTTATGACAGAAGGGTTATAAGTGCCGGCCTCTTTCTTACAATTACTATGGTGTTTTCGTAAAGAAAATTACATAAAAGTACTGCTGTAGTCTTTGTATAAAAGTCGTCTTCGTGAGTACCTCTGTCTCACGTAATATTCCCGCCAAACAATTTTCTTTGTAAGTTGTATTGTTGAAGATATTATGAATTTAGAAATATACTTTTTTTTAAGGAGGCATAGCACTTGGGTCTTTAAAATGATAATCCATGAGTTTTTTTAAACGAGTAGGTAAGGTACAACTGTGTGCAAGACAAAGTGGAGTCAGAGTTGTGTCGCTAATGGGATATACAGTGATGTATATAGATATATGATTAATTTATATTATGTTTGTATTGTATTGTATTTTCAATATTATTGTATATATACTATAAAATATATTCTCAATAATACATAATATTCCTTTTATATGTATAGTAGGTATTATTTTTATATGTAGATTATCCCCTTTTATGTGGATTACAACGTAATAAAAACAATCAAACTGTACATAGTGTTTTTTTTCAGTTCAAAGGACTTTTGGGACACTCTGTGTGACATCGAATGTCTCACCTGATAACGTGTTATAAGGTCCACTGTTTACGTATATTGGGTACGGTTATCATTTGCCATCATGGGTCGACAGTTTGTTGTTTCATTTATACGTGTATAAAAATGTTAGGTGGTGATTGAATGGGTAATGACAGTGATTGAAATAAAAACCAACGTGAAGTGGACCAAAATCTTTATAAATTTAGCATTTATAAACATTTTTTACGTACTACATAACAGTTTCTATATACAAATTAAATCTCATTTATATCACATCATTCATTCAAAAATACATCTTAAATATAAAATGTTTTAGTCACATTTCTCTTTGCGACATATTGAAGATAATTCGCCTAAATTTATTAAAAAGCACTGTTGTCACACCTTTATATATTTTATAGGTTATAATTTATATTATTATTTCATATAGATATAGAAATTAAAATAGTATAAGGATAAATAAAATAAAAAACGAGTACAATTTAGAGTGGAGTTTAAAAAGGCAATTAAATAATATATGCAAGCAAAAGAAATAAAAAAAAATGACTTGTTATGAAAAAATTGAATTTTGTAATACAATACAATAATTTAATATAAATCTGTTACAAAAATATTCATAATTTATGTACAAGTAAATAGGTATGAAACTTTAAATATGTATAAGCGAATTTTGCCATATTCTGTTCTCTGATTCTATTTGGGTTTATAGCAAAAAGTATCGTATACTTTATCTATTTAGATTTATTTGGTAATGTCTCTGGTTTGTTTAAAGCATATAATAAGGGAGGTAGATGAAAATTAATAGGATTAATAAACCGTGAATGAAAACTACTTCGTTAATTAAATGATTATAATACTAAACTTATAGTTACTAAACATAGAAGTAAACACCGTAGCTTCGGCTATTAGAACAAGGTTTTTTCAGGAAAAATAATTAAATACAGTTTGTATTATTAGACTTCGTTATGGGGTCCAGAAGGCTATTTCTTTACTATAGATACTGTTACTACAAAAGCGAATACAATTTCGTAGTGCAAAAAACGTCTTTGTTATGTTAAGTAAAAGCACTGAATTTCACAATATTTGTAATGTATCTATGATTATACTTCAATTAGCTATGGAATTAAGTGTTAGACTATTTGCATCCAGAGCTATTATTTATTCCTTTTATGGTTTTACAAATACCTTATATATTATGTTGTTAATTTTTTTTACTTTATATTCAGAGCAATATTTATTTGTTTTATTTTAAGACATTATGTTCTTTAATGATCTATTTCTGGGTGTTTTCAATGGAGTACCTATGATTCTTTTATCTAATGGTTAAGAGAAGCATTTTTCTTTCACGGTGTTAGAATTTTAGTAATAAATACAATTATTTATTGCGACGAAACTTCAACAAAAGACAATCACATAATGAAAATTGCTTCAATAGAACAATCATTTTAAAACAGCTTTCTTATACACTAATCGGTTGCATTATTTAATTGGTAGTAGTTTTAATAAGTTACCTAATTAAAATTTTAGGCTTCCTAAATTAATACTAAATAATTGCTTTATTGTACTCATTTTTCTCTACTATTACTACATCTATAGGAATTATTTCTTGTTATATCTGAAATATTCATACAATTCGATATACAGATTTAATTGGCAAAACAATAATTTCATATATATTACTAAGGTGACAAAGTAAAATAGTCTTTACTTCATTATTGCTAAAATTATATATTCATCTACATTTTTCACGATCCTTAGTCTAGGCCGCCAGATTTTATTAAAAGGACTCCGGGTTAATTATTATCATTAACTAATGTTTATTTCCTTTTATTTTGATTACATTTTTCATTTTAATAGGTACACTAAACGTTTCAGAAATATTATATCCGCTGTAACAAAAGTCTATATCACAATATTTAAGTAACTGGTAATTTTAACCGTTTTCCTAATCATTACACTGACATTATTTACATATTTTTACCTACAATTTTCTAAAAGCAATTCTGCATATCAATATGTACGAGTACGAGTCTAGAAAAATAATCGAGAGTGAAATTATCTAGTTATTTTACAGTTGACATAAAAACAAATTTTAATTGGTAACGACCTGTTGTATAAAGCAATGGAATTAATACAAATGTTACGCTTATAACTCAGAAACATGATAAGTAAAATGAGTTACTACATAGCATGGCCATAGACAATTCATTCTGTCCTGTGCTGACAACAATAGTTGGACACGAAACAGTACATTTATTGTCCAGCTCGATAAAAATGATGTCAAACTTTAAAACGATAGTAATTGCAATAAATCACATTTTTGGGTTTATATCACAGATTGAGGCACTCTCATTTAGATAGTTTGCCACACTTAACATCATATTTGTTACACGAGACCAAGTAATATTACACATAATATTACGACAAGACCAAGCAATATTACATACAGTTATGCACTTTATCATCATAATTAGGCTATTCCATCATAAAATTTGCAATCTTCAAAGCCAACATGCAAAAATAAAGATGTTCCTAGAAAGTATCGTCCACATAAACTTGCTGGATAATTATTGGCACAGAGCACCTACAGGTGTTTTTATAATTAATACTGCATACCATATAATACCGTATTTCATCAATAATTAAAACCAAATGCTAAAATTTTTCTAAAAGTCAAATACTAATGGTCTGATTGTAAGATATTTATATTTGCAAATATTCATCTATTCATTCCATTCTCATTTTTTCCGTATAATGTCTTCTACTTTGTATAATTGTACGCAAAACTATATTTTGCAGCATACCATCAACAGTCCTCGTTGATTTGGTATTTTTAGGCTTGAAAAAGCTTTCGCGCGTTATATCGTTTACCATTTCATAGCGTTAAAAAGAATCACTGGACGTTGTTACCGTACTGCATGCCAAACATGGATAATATAAAGAACGCAAGACCTAAGAACACCGAGCCTAGGAGATCACCTAAAGCAGTAAGATATGGTATAGCTGCATTGTCTGGGTCCTTCTTTTTCTTCCACATTAAGTGAATGAATACGTATGCTAGGTATAGTAGCACCATAACCTGAAAAGAAATATGTTAAATCTTAAAACATGTTAAAACATTACAACATACAAAAAGAAACATTACAAAAAACAAACATGTTAAATCTTAAACATGTTAAATGTTAAATCTTTGTTTACTCATGTTTCTTAATTGATGTTACTAACTAACGAACTAAGAAACAGAATTTAACGTATTGTTCGAACAAAAACATAAGAAACAATGAAATGGCTACTATTTCATACTGCTGGCAGTAATCAACAAAATAATTTCTTTACAAAACCGAGCCAAATCACAGGACAAAACTATGTATAAATTATAATCAAATCTAGAAAGGAGTCTTGATTTGCTTGTAATTGATATTGAGTTCAGTCATGTGATTTGGGTTAGTTTTATATAGAAACTAATTTATTAGAATTCTTTAAAATGTTATAACTATGTATAACAGTATTAAATGTTACAACAAATGTGTTTTATCTATTTACAACAAATATATTTATGTAAACATGTTATAGGTAGTTTTTTGTTTAAATATTTGACCATTGAAAAACAGTTTATGTTAGTTCCGTTCTCAACGACAAACATCTATATTGCTTAATGTAATTGTTAACAATATATTGTGAAATATATATATATAATCCGAACCTGTAATAAGGAGCAGAGCAGATAGGTAACACCAAACGCGACTTGTATGGTCACAAGACCTTGGTAGACGAAATCGGCTACCACCATGAATATGCTTTGTCCAAACACAGCCAGAATCAACAACATGCGGGCCACCTTTGCAGCAGGAGCTGGAATAGAATAGCAGTGTATTTAGCAAAGAATGTAAATAATATGAAGAAAAATACTATTTTTCATTTTTTTTAATGCCGGCAAAAAATTTACCGGGCCAGTGAGACCGGAAAATATGCCCACCTGATAAACGTGGCCATAATCTAGTATATACTGTGAGTAGTGTATTAAGTGTTAGTACCACGAGTTGAAGCATAGTCCATAGGAACGGTTCAACTCATACATTACCCTTGTTCAGAACTATGGTGTCAAGCCTCCAAGCCGCCAAGTCTGTATCTAGTATTTTCATTGCCGTCGAATCACAGATTAAAAAATCCGATGATAACACTAGGAATAGGAAAGAACGCGCAGGAACAGAGACACTCACTCAGATGACTTTATACAAAGTGTACAATAATAAAATAAAGAAGAACTTACTTCCAAAGAACCAAGTCTTCCATGGCCATTCAACGATTCTGGTATTCTCGGGTAGCACACCAGGAATAGCTGTTTGATGCAAGTGGGTAGCGAGGCGAGACGACTGTACGCAGACGAGGTTTCCTCCGATGCCGTTGACGATTGGTTGGAACACCTCGTAGCCGGGATATTGGTCAACAGCTTGATCCAAGACGATTCCTCCAATACTGTGGATTAAATAAATTACATCAATTATAATACTATATTCCTCTAAGATCGCTTTATCACTTGATTTGTGGTATGCTGCTGATAAATTAAAGGTAAATTGGCAGACTAGATAACTAATCCGCAATTAGAGATTTTTAAAATCAGACATTTTTTTAGTTGGTTTAAATTTTGTAGCCTAGCCGAGCATAATTTAAACACAAATAAATTCTAGAAAAACAGTAGAACAATTTTCTCCATTTAAGTAAAGGAAGATTCATGACAAAGAACATTGTCTAGTAAGATATGAAATATTCTCTAAATAATAACAGGAATATAAATTATAATTAAATGACTTTAGTGACATACCCGCTAATGAAGAGTGCTGATATGACAGGCGTCCAACCAGTGGTGAGGACCTTCTTGGTGTACCTGTTTCTCCATACAACAAAGATCCACATCGGTAGCATGCAGTAATACACGCACATGAGAACGATGGGCTGCCACAGTGATACCTCTGTGGAGAGAATAATATAGGAATAATCAAAAATGCTGACGTTCAGGGCACTGTAGCATTTCATTAACGCTGAGAAAGAGCAACAAATGAGGAGTACTATTGCCATCACATGACTCTAATGAAACGGCAAACAAGCTGACGGTCCATCTGATTGTAAGCAGTAACTGTCGCCATCGCCTATATACTATTAGGCTTGGTTGTGGAATAAAAAAGTATATTCAACTCATTTAAAATTAGTATTTTGTTAAACAACAGTTATGTCTTAGGTGAAACTGTAATGAAATAGAGAATAAATTGTGTTTACTACTATATATTTACTTAATATCTCTATCATATACTTGAACGGCACTATGAGTATCACACTATCATGTGGCACCTGATATACCACTCGATCGTTGCCATTCCAGAGTACTAAGATGATTTATGCCTCATTTACAATAATTTGTCTATGCTGCTGTTAGTGTTAGTGCTGATTTCAGTGTAATTGAACATGTTATCAAGTAGAGATGTTATCACTCTTACAATACTTTATCTTGTTCCATCCTAACAGTGTCTTCAAATTGATATTAGAGTGTAAATAGTAATTTATTTATCAATCTTTTTATTATTATACTATTATACTTATTGGCATCATATCTTTTGTAAACTTCGTAAGTGATTCTTTAATTGAAATAAAGTAATTAATAATTTCTATACTTCGTATAGAAATGCGTATGCGTTTTATTATAGACTTAGAAAAATATTATTGCTCATATGCATTTTTCTATGTTGCAGGTAATGAACTTGATTGAGTAGAATCATAATTAGTCTACATGCCAACTTACCTGATTTGTCTTCATTATGAGGCTCTTATGGTAAAGAGGAAAGAAAGAAAAAGAAATTTAATATTTTATGTAATCTGTTACTAGTTAATAAGAAAACGACAAATTTAATTAAGACTAATGATTATATTTTATAGTAATGGATTTTAAAATTTCAGTGAGTAAGTGGGTTATATGTTAGTTTTAATGGTTTTAATACAAATTGATATAGTGAAATTGTTCAGACGAGCATTGATGGGGTAAGATGCCCGTGTACTTAATATTACATAAATAATTTAGAGCCATACATAAAGTTACATCACACGAAGATGTTGTACACCAAGGATATGTTTGAGTTGCAAACTTTTTGCAAAAATTCATGTATAAATGAATACTCACGTATTTGTTCGTACATGTACTGAGCAGTCACTGCTAGAACTGAATTGCTGACAATATCTCCGATGGAAGCCGCCAGCGGTGTCGCCACGTTGTCCGGGTTCACTTTAAACTTATGGGAAGCATATATCACGAGGACCATTACGAAATCTGGAATAAAAAAATGATACATAAGAAACACATAAATATCGTATGTATCGTAATTAACAGCATTAAGTCTAATATTACAAATATTGGGAAATCGCCTTTAATGTATTAAAATATCAAATATTAAACGTGCCAAAAATCTACACAAACTTTGTGTTCTAGCGGTTTAACACACTATCTTATTTACAATAGTCCTGGGTTCAATTCCTCCCACGACGACAAACATTTGTATTTAAGCGTAAGAACACTCAGATCAGAACAAACCGTATTGGTCGGGGTGTTTTCTATTTATAAGAAAAATTTATGTATTAATTTTCACCAATCGTTAAGTACCCACAAACATAAACTCTGCGTAGTCTGGTAAATGGTCCTGGGTTAACATTATTTTGAAATATAAATAAAAGAATCGGAATTATGACAAATTCGTTTTAACATATTTTTTTTGTAGACGTTTTGAAATTTCTGTTATGAACTCTACAGATATAGTAAAAATAATTTACGTATAATGTTACCTACAATACGTTTTTTGCCACATTCGAACAAGGACATGCTTCCCTGTCTTTGTTGTGCTTATTAAAACATTGGAGCATGTCCGAGATGGTTAACGTCATGTATTATTTTACAATTTTTTATTTCAGTTTATTTATAGTGTATAAGTAAAATATATTTTTTAACTATTTACAGAGAATATTCGCACTATGCGAGTCGAAACTAGTGAAGTCCTCTGGATGAAGCCGATACAATTGTCGCAAAAACGATGGTTACCAAATGGAGCCGCGTGAAGTATAGGGCTAGCAATTTGGTCAACAGTCCACATTACTATCAAACTCCTTGCCCCCTGTCAAACACTGTCAGTAGTTGTTCATGTACAAATTTCGCTTACTATCAGAAGGATCATCAGTAAGTGTCTGTTAATACTACGAACAGAACGGACGAGTTGTGCATCATCATTTCAGCCCAGAGGACGTCTACTGCTGAACAAAGGCCTCTCCCAAAAATCTCCAAGACGATCGTCTCTGATAGCCTGGTAGTAGTAATACTCGGGGATGCTTCAGCCCATGGTCAAGCTGCGGTCGAGCGGGGCCGGGGCCTTGTGTGTAAATCCATTTGGGATGAGTTGTGCTCATATCTTTAATATTTGCTATTCCATTCAATATAATATTTGCATTATTGGTGTCTAGCTTACCTAATACGAAACAAGTGGTTGTTGCGGTGAATACAGCTGAAGCTATGATGAGTAAGATGTAGTTGCCGTTGACAGTTCCATCAGCTATGGTGTTTATTACTATTGCGAACATGGACACGACCGTTGCCGCTACTATAGCTTGCACCTGGAAGTACAAATGTTCTTCAAAAAGGAGAAAGAGAAACGAAAACATAATAAGATCACCATCGACAGTGAATTTATCCCCACACGCTGGGACCTAAGTGGTCTCGAACAGTGCGGTTTCAGATGAGCTTCCCCTCACATCTCGCATTAGATTTTGGAATTAACTACCTGTCGAGGTTTTCTCACGAGTCTACAGCATGGAGTTTTTCAAGAAGGGTATATTAAGGTTTCTGAATGGTCGGCAACGCGCACGTGACACCTTATGGTGTTACGTTTTACTATTCAGATGGGCCGAATGCTTGTTTGTCATCATCGTAGTATCAAACACTAGGTTTTTTTACAGTTGTTATATCGGTTGAAGGGTGAGATATGGCAGCGAAATTCCAATAAATATTACAGGTTGCTATAACTCTATAGGTTTTATATACAATATTTTGGATATATATATATACGCCTTCAACACAGATATTACAAAAGAATATAATAAAAATATTAAAATTAATCGCATAATAAAAGAGTAGCTCTTCACTCGCCGTTGCTTCAAAAATACACATTGTGAGAAATAAGTAAAAATACTTCAAGAAAAAATGTAATAGAATGGCAATTACCACAATAGTTATAAATATCTACACAGGCAAAAAAATCTATATAAGAAACAAATTGCTACAACGTTATATTATTTAAAACGTAAAATATACGTTCTACGAATTTGGCAACGCCATCTAAGCAAAAAATATAAGAACTAAATTTGTGAAAGAAGATTAAACAATAATAAAAGTAAAACATACAATGCGTGTTCGTTACTGGCCTGGGGTGGACCACCTATGGAAAAATAGTTTGCGTCCTATTTCCAGACCTATTGAATATACACACCAAACTTTATAATAATCGGTCGGACAAGCCGGATCGGAGGAGTTTTGTTAAGAAAATTCAATGTTTGTAACATTTTCTATAAAGCGTCTCACCTGCACCAAGGATATATTTCCAACAACCATGGAGATGACCTCCTTCGTGGAGTCCATGTTGCCGAGGTTGGCCTGCGTGGACAGCCGAGATGCCAGGCACATGTCCAGGTTACCTGCAAAATAATCGTTATATTGTTACGTAAACCAAAATATTTTATGTCCCAATTTTTTGTGTAGACTAATAATACACTTTTTTAATTTAATTTTTTAAATAATTTGTACTAAAACCTAATGGTGCCACTACTTTTACGGATCTTGCTTTTATGAAATTTCGCTAATTTCGCACTTGTACTAGTATACTTGTAGTTTATATAAATGGATTGAATACATTACACATGTATCTAATACTATGCATTTGATACGAGCATATACATATACTTCTTTGATTATTTTATTTTCTTTTATTTTTTTGGTATTTAATATTATTTGTCTACAGTCTGTTTATTATGGTCGAATTTCGAGCACTGGGCGATCACTAATGTAAATAAATAATTTAATATTATTCACAAAGAGACATCAAACCAATTGCCGTGGCATTTCAATACAAATGTGGAGATTGGATTACAGAGAAACAATTGCTCATTGTTCGAGGCGGCACGTTAGTTATTTCAATACAAAATGCACTAAAAGTGTTCAATCAATCTCGGATTGCGTGTGTAAACATATTCCAATTATATAGGGGGATTACCTATATCCTCTTGGCAGTTGAACAATAGATCGACTTAAATCAGTTGTTTCTATTGACATCTGCACAAAGATGTACAGTTGTAAACATTGTATGGGTATTATATTTTCTTATTTGAAATGTGATTAGGGGAGAACTGTGAGGTGGTATTATAAACGGTTTCCGTATAATAAACATATGGATTAATTATGTTTGTACATGTGTTTGTCAAATAACTCCTCTTAAAGGGATGGATAGATTTAAATGAAATGTCTATGTTTGAATGGGTTATTAAGAATATAAACATAGAATATTGTTAGAATAAAAAAATGACTATTCAAAACTGTTTATATAAAGTTAATTTGTATAAATATTATTTCTATTTCAATTAATACAAATATTATAATATCTCTTCCATAGCTTATATAGTAAGTTTTGAAATACTTCCTTCATTATCCTTACTAATATTAAAAATGCGAAAGTAACTCTGTCTGTCTGTCTGTCTGTCTCGCTGTCACGCCAAAATTACAGAACCGATTTAATTGAAATTTGGTACAAAGATAGTGTAGACCCTGAGAGAGAACATATGCTAAGATTTTTAATGCAAAAAAGGTTTGTAAGGGTATGAAAGGGAAGATGAAAGGTTGAATGGAAGTATCGTCATTTTTAAAGGTAGAAGCGTAAAACTTAATTTTTAGGCACTTGACAAAATATAAATAAATATGACAATAAAAGTGTATAAAAAATTGAGGATGAAATGGAAATTCCTCATTCGTCGCCAATTCCACGCGGACGCAGTTATATATTTATTTACTATATTTATACATTTTCTACGTCTATTTTAAATGTATAGATAATAGGAGTATGTATAGTATTACTATATCATGGTATATAATAACTAGGTACATGTCGGAGCCCCATAATTGTACACAATTGTATAAAGTTGCAGGAAATGACAGATCTTTATCATCCACAAGTCGCACACTCGAAGATTAGTACAAACATTCATTATAATTCGGTGTTTATTATGACATTAGATGATTTCTGTATGGACAGACAGCCATTATATCTATATCTGTCTTCATGGGACGTCCATTTATTACACCATTGTATTTTTGGCCTCAGTGATCTAGCGGTTTAGCACACCGCCTTTCTACCGACGGTCGCGGGCTCCATTCCTCGCGGTACAGTCATTTTGGGTTCATGAGTATGATGTTTCTATTGGTCTTGGTGTTTTCTATATTTACAAAAAATCTAAGTACTTTTGTATAGTGTTCAGTCTAGTGTCCGTAATACAAGCTGTGCTTAGCTTGGGACTAGATGGCGCTGTGTGTCTTGTCCTGGGGTCATGTTTATTTTTATTTTGACGATTTTTTGATACAAATTTTTAATTGAAGCATACAACAATACATTAGTGAAAACTGAATCCGAATCAGTGTTGTTTTTGAGATTAGCGTGCACAAAACGCACATACAAACAAACACTCATTCAATTATACTGTTTTGGTTTCTACTCTTATTACGTTGATAAAATCCCCAGAATATAAGAGATTTTTTTATATATCTTCAATGTATAGACAGGGAATCAGTTATTACTGATAATGCTGTATTTTTTACCTTTAAGTCCAGAAAGTGATGGCACCAAAACAAAGATGGCTGACACATTAATGAACACATCCCAATCCTGAAAATAAGAAAACAATTTTATCACTCAATGTATTGAATTGAATGACGAGCTTAGATCAGCGCACGGCAATAGTTGTTCATGCACGGGATTTTTATTTAATGTTAGACATATAAGAAAAAAAATTGGCTTTATAAAAAAAAAGAAATTTCTTTTCAATTGAGTTTTTGCCAATACTTCTCAATTGATTCTGTATATTGTCAAATATAATGATCTTCTGTTTCTTCTTGATCCCATTAATTTAGGACTAGGTTTTGTCCGCGGCTTCGTTCGCGTTAATTTATCCCCTTAGGGGTGAAATTTATCAAAATCTTTTCTTAGCGAATGCTTACGTCATAGTAGCTTTATGCATGCAAAGTCTAAGGCCCGATCGGTTTAAAATTGACAAAGTTCCATACAAACTTTCATCCCCTATTTTATCCCCTTGGGGGTAGAATTAATCAAAATCCTTTCTTAGCGGATGCCTACATCATAACATCTACCTGCATGCTAAATTTCAGCCCGATCCGTCCAGTGGTTTGGGGCTGTGCGTTGATAGACGTCAGTCACCTTTGAGTTATATATATTTAGGTAGAAGATAGATTGGTGTAATATGTGATTTAATATATGCACTATCTATCTCTATCTATGGTTGAGTGGTAGAAAATGCCGCAGTGTTCGATTCTGTTTTATACAGTTGAAGGCAGAATTAGAGCAGACATTGAGCATTTTCTATTGTTAGTGATTTTGTAAAAGACGATTAAAATAAACTTATTAGACTTAATTATCTCAAACAATCTATACAAACTGTGAGATGATAAACGCTTGCGATATTGAAAGATGCAGGTGTACAATAAGACCTTGGGATATGATAGACAAAAACAATGGGTAAAATACGACATACCAAAAGACAAGCAAATAGAAAAGAGACGAGAGAAGGTAGACTTACCTTGTAACTGTCGCTCCAAAAAGTCAGCGTCGAAGAATTGAAGAAAGAAGTCAAGAGCAGAACACAAAACGATGATATTCAGCAGCATAGCATGAGCTAAAGTTCAAGATTTCCAACAGATTTTTGATGCAGCATAAAATTTTCATGCGCTTTCAGAGACGGCCATGTTGCGAACTCGATACGCCTAGCAGGCAGACATCCAGTGAATCTATTTCACTGGTTTAAAAAACAGAAAAGAAAAATAGAAAGCAAGAAATAGAAAAGATAGAAACCAAGAGAACAAAAATTTCACTCCGCTCTAAATTCCGCTACTGTGCTGAATTTCAAAGCTTTCCGCCGGGCTTCCGTAATGTTACGCAAAAAATACCATAGAACACAAAACTGTTGATAATGATAAATTTAACAAAAACTATACTAAATCCCCAGAACTAAGAGCTGTACTACAAACAGATTATTATAATCAGTCTAGATTGTTTGCGATAATTAAATCTTAAGATTGTGATAAGAAAACTATTGCTATAATCTCATATTAACGATAACGAAACGTCGCGCCAAAGGTAGAACTTGATCTATTTATGAGTACTTTGATATATACATATATATTTTATTATATAGATTATGAGAATCAGTCACTTTATAAACATGAATAGCAGTATTGAATTCACACAGTACAGTGACGCAAATGGCTCCCCTCAAATTTTACGGAGAACCGATGTCCTCGGAATGATTTATTATAAAGATGTTATTTAATAGGAAGACGCAAAAGATATCGCTAATACAAGTATGATAATGTCGATTTTTGGGCAATGCCTTACCTTATTACATTCAATTTTATTTCGTAGTTCTTGGATAAAATTTATGTCTAAGAAACGATTAGATTTCTGATAAAAATCGTAATCCATATGGCACTTTAGAGTAGGTGTAACATCAAGAGAAGTATTTAAAATCGACAACGAATTAGTTTGCCCATAATCAAAGTACTTGCATTATCTATCTCCATTTGTGTCTAATATTCCAGTTTATTTAGTACTTAGATAAATATAGATTCAGATATATACCTTGACAGTACCGAGCACGAGACCAGCTCCGATGGTCCCGCAGCCCGCTATGAAGAACGGCACCGCCACCTGCATCAATGTATTCCACCATCTTTCTTCCTTCTTCTGAAAAAGTAGAAATATAAGAATAAAAACCACATACAAATTTTACATTTAAAAGGTATCTGGTATAATTACCTTCTTCATAATTTTTATATAAACATTGCCCAGAGAAATCCAAATTAATAGACTCTAATAATATATTAAAATATATATTTGATATCTGACTTAAACGTTAATAAAAATATTTTGGTTTGAGGTTATTAGTTATTTAAGGTAATGTATTTCCATATAACGGTAGCACTCGTAAGCACCTTTGTTGTACCTCCGAACTTAACAAATGATCGTTGAATTTAAAATATTTACACAAGTGTAACATCTAATATAGAACAGACTACTCTATTGGATTAATTATAAATAGTGATGGTATACCAGCCACTTTGCAGTTACAATAAGAAATATGATGACAAAAATATTTTTTGTTTCATAACTTACAAAAACATTTTAAATATATATCTATCTTGTATATTCGATATGCTTGTAATTATATATCTTCCCGGAACGTTTACGATAAGTTACATTGAGTGTTTCGGTGCACAATAGTTTCTGCTATGATGTTTTCAAATTAATGACGGTTTAATACATACTTTATAATGACCATAGACCATATTGTAATGCCATAACCTCTTTGGAGAGTAAAAAATTGTTTAATTCGATATTATTTAAATTGATAATATTCTTCTGTCAGACTTTTCTGATGTGAGTTGAAGGCCCACCATGGTAATCTATATTATTTCGTAAAACACACAAAATCGAACGTCTAACATTATGTCGACCAAATTGCGTCTTAACTAACTCTGAGGATAATTCTACTTATCATATAGATATAGTTGACATATGAACAGGGATGAATGGAAGCGAAAAACATATTACGCCGACCCCAAATAAATGGGATAAGGAAGAAGCAGATGATGATGATAGTTGACATATACAAAAATATTTATATATACGGAGCATTACGGCATAGGAAAAGGCCGACCAGTCCATGCCAATGTGGGAATGCCACCATTCCTACAGTGGTGGCATTGTTAGTAGAGATTACCACAGATTCCAATATGACACGGACATATGTATATAGGTACTATGAATTACTTAAAAATAAAAATACAATTACTAACATAAAGTGTAAATCGAATAGAAAATTATTTATTCAAATAAACTTAATTTATGCACTTTTGAATAGTTTTACTTATGCTTATTTTAATCTATCGCTCATTCGGAAAGCTGTCTTATCACACGAAGCGTAAGCAGGAAACTTGTGTGTTGCTCTTTTAAATAGTCGTTGTAACTTTTCATTGTCATTGTAACACCAAATGTGTAAATTTAATTGCAAATTACCAACTAGCACTAAATTTAACAAATATTAAATACACAATCAGATTAAATGAGTCGTAGTGATTAGAGCAGACCAGTCTCTACAAGCAGCACTCGTTCACGAGTATGACGTATATAATTTACATGCATAAAAAAATTTTCGAATTAAAATAAACACCACTACACGTGGTACTGTTAACAAAATTCTCATAACCTCTTCTAAATTCTCATAATCAATGAAATATTACTAAAAATAACTTACTATCTTTTACGTTTGTACTGTATAAGAAATGTGGAACTGATACGAGATAATAATATTGTGTTGCTATCGGTTACTGCAAACTTATCATGAAGTGTGACGAAAAATTCTTATTAAATTTATGTTTGTGCTTGAGTCACATCCCATTCAATGATTTTTGTTGTTTATTGAATTTTAGTTGATACGCGCAATATCTGTGTCACATTTTCCTCATTTTTACGTATTTATTGGTAAGTGCTCGAATCAGGGATCAAATGTTCAGGGAGTGAGATCCAGAGCCGTGAAGTTTGTAGCTTAAATGACGAATGAAATTTTATGAAGTAAGAAGAAAGAGTAAATCTTTGAGAGAATCTCAGAGCTATTGAAATTTCCATTTCAAATATTCCGGGGAAACAGATTCAAAGAGGATAGAGTAAAGAGTGCAAATTAATCGCTATTACCTACGATGGCGAATGGGGTGCCCTTTTAGTTGAGAACGGTATCAAGAAATATGATCAAATTTGCGAAGGTTGAAAATGAAACGAATGGAGTGGAGTTATTCATGAGCCGATCCATCTTGTTTGTATTGCTCATTGCAGCTTCGCTTTTATTAATCGTAGCGGGATAATATTCACCAATAGGAGGGACGGGGATTGTTAGTAATGTGGACTAATAACCATATAGCATTCTTCGTGAATGAGCTGTTTAACATTTTTTAAACAAAATCGAATTACCTAATTGTACGGGAGATTAGTAAAAAACGTACAAACTTACAAACTTTACCTCTGTATAATATTACAAGCAGTGCCCGTGACATCATCCGCATGAAATTTTAGTCTGTGTTATTCGGATGTATCTTTCTCTATTTTAATAAAAAGTCCTATCCTATGTTCATTCTAATATCTCCAAGAACATGTACAACATTTCATAATGATCGGTTCAGTAGTTTTTGCGTGAAAACGTAACAAACATCCCTACTTTCACATTTATAATATTAGTAATATTATGTAATATTATATTATCTGTGGTAATATTATATATTGTACCAGCTATACCCGCGACTTCGTCCGCGTGGAATTTAACTTTATTTTTCTAAAATAAAAGTAACCTAAGTTACTCCTTATTACATCAGCTACTTGCCAATAAAAGTATGTAGTAAAAAATGTAGTATTTAAATATTACAAACAGACACTCCAATTTTAGTTATATGTATAGATAGTTTACAATAGCAAGCCGTGTGTATTAACGGGCAAATAATTTTCTCTGTAGAATAGGATTTACAATAAGGTAATAGATTACAACTGTTTGTTATGATAATTCGCCTTATCATTGAACAAGGGTTATATTATAATATCTATAATCCGCATATGCCTACGGATATGTATAAACACGATTCATTTTACCCACAGAATCGAGAGCTACTCTCCCATGTTCTGTATCTCATCAGATATTGCTGAGAAATTACCAGATCTAATAATCTAATAATAATCTCAGGACAATTCACACAGCGCCATCTAGACCCAAGTTAAGCTAGCTAAAGCTTGTGTTATAGGTACTAGATAACTGATACAAATACATAGATAATATTTTTTCGTAAATACATACATATTATACATAGAAACACCCAGACTGATACAAACAATCATACTCATGAATATAAATGTTTGTTCCGTGCGAGGAATCGAACCCGCGACCATCGGTCGTAAAGCGGTGTGCTAGACCACTATACCACCGCGGTCGTCAAACACCAGATACAGAGGCAAGACGTTTTAATTCTTTAGAATGGTAAGGCATGGGTGGTATGACAGGCGTCAAATGATTTAATTCACACTACTCTAATGCTGTTGGCCGCAGCTGGCCTTTACAGCTTCTCCAGACGATAGGGGGCGAGTGCAGATGACACCACAAAAGCGCGGAAGGACTTATGGAGCGGCTGAAGGCCAAGTCCCGCCTGACGAATACGATTACATTATGATATTATTTCAGCGGTAAGAATAATGTTGTACTATACATAAATAGGTGAAAGAAATGTCCTTTTTATGATATTTATAACTATGGTAAAGAAGCTGACAGACGGTAAGTGGTTACCATTGTATATATAAATACATGAACCAGCACAACAGAAATTTGCTCTATACTGCTGCGTCACTGCCATATCTCACGCTTCAACAAATACATAGACCACAAAAAAAACTGTATCGCGGCTGAAATATGTAAGACAGAGGTCCATGCAGGCGACTATATAGAAAGACTGCCTTCTAGAATTTTGTATGAGATTTTGACCTATGGAGTAAATTTTTATTCAAACTTATTTGACGACTTCGGTGGTAGCGGTTTAGCATACCGCCTTACTTCCGATGGTCACGTGTTCGATTCCTCACGGTACAAACCTTTGTATTTAACAGTTTGATTGTTTGTATCGATCTGGGTGTTTTCTATGTATAATATGCATGTACTTACAAAAACAAAATCTATGTATTTGTAACAGTTGTCTAGTAGTCTTATTGGGGCATAAGCCAAAAAATATTTAAATTTTTAAATAAGTTTTATTCAAAATATTAAGCCTAAGTTAAGCCTACTCAACTTGTGTCTAGATGACGCTGTGCGAATTGTCCTGCGATTATTATTATAATTTTTTCTCACTGACACCGATGTTAATATTTACTGCACTGAATCACAGATACTCTAGCATTCTTATATATCTTTGTATGAGATTTGGAACTATGGAGTAATTTTTTTAATAAAACTTAAGCACTTATTTAATAACTTAATTATATTTTAAAAAAGTGTGAAGTAATATTTTAACAAATTATAATGTTTTTAGATGAAGGGATCTAGATTTTTGTTATAGCATAGCTAGCGGAACACCTGATGGTAATTGATTACCGCCGTCCATTAGAACCCGCAACACCAAGGGAATTGCAAGTGAGTTTCTTTCTTGAGTTTTAGGGAAAAATATTATCTTTTCTTCTATGTTTCAATATCCTCAGTACATAATAACTATGAAATCAATTATGCTTATTAAAAAATAATATGTGACTGTATATTTATATAGACTTAGAGAGGGATATATAGTTGTATTTATGAAAGTGTGTATATCTGAGTTATATATTAAAATAGGTAAATAAATTATTATTATACCATTTCCATCTGACACCGATGTTGAAATTTTCTGCACTAATCCACAGATACTCTAGAATACTAGATATTGCTCTGTAACTTAGCGTGGCACTTGTGGACGCAAGCAATTGCGGAATCAACTTTGTCGAATGTTATCGTGCTTATAAAATACAGATTATAAAAATTACTTATCACTATTACATTTTTATGATTCCGATAATTAAGTATTAACAAATTGCCAATACTTGAATAAACATTGTCTAATATTGTACCAAATAACATTATAAATAATGTGAAATTATCAGTGTAATCTGAAGAAAATAACTTAAATATTATCTACGTACTGTATAGCGCGATAAAAATTAAATTAATCACTTTTATTGATGCTTAAGTAATCCGTAATAAAAACTTAGGACATGTTGGCATGTTTTTCAGAATTCAACAATGAACGTTGGGCTGTAAAAAGTCGTTTGCCTGAATGTCATCTGTTTCAGACTCCAAGCGGCTTGTTTTTTTTTTGGTTGTAGGATCAGATTAGACAGCGAAATTTGCTCTCAGGAATGGCAAAGATAGTTTCTACGAGTGTTTATTACTGACTGGTTACATTAGATACCAGTTTGTTATCATTCCAGTTCCATTACGAACGCAAAAGTTTTTGCATGTAAAGTATCATAAGATAGAATAGAGTCAGATTTCTTCTAAATAAAATTTAACAATAATAACCCTGGATAATTCACACAGCGCTATTTAGTCCCAATCTAAGCAGACTTTGTTTTATGGGTACTAGACAACTGATGTACATACTTATATAGGTACATCTTTTTCTAAATACATACATACATATGTATAATACACCCAAACGAATACAAACTATCATACTGATGAAAAAATATAACATGCGAGGAATCGAACCCACGACCATTGCAAAGTAAATCGGAGTGCTCACCGGTTAGACCACCGAGGCCATCAACATACAATTACAAATGTCACTAACTCGCACCATGTCATCAGGCTCGCCTTATGCACGAATAATTCCGCCGTGGTTGTAATAAAAATTAAAAAATGAATAATACGAACCCCGGACAGTGGTTGTTTTTCTGCGTCAGCTTCGGTGATCTTCTTATCTGGTGGATCCCCAGGGCTCTTCAGGTCTCCAGAGGAATTTATGGATGCCATGTTGTATGTGCTCCCGGAACATCCAATATCATCTGGAACAATATGAATTATCGATTAATCAAAAGTCCTATTATAAAGAAAACAGATTTAGTTATTTCTGTATAATGTATGAACTCAAAAAATATATAATATCAATTGTATTTTATTTTAAACTAAATGTCACTCGTCTACACATAGAGTCATCCCCTATCCCCTTCCGCTTATTTTTTGGGATTAAACAGAACCTATGTCCTTTCGTGATATAATCAGTTATCATGTCAAATTCCATTAATTTTCATTCAGATGTTTAACGTGTGAGGAATTGAACCTGGGACTACCGGAAGTAAGGCGGTCTGCGATGAGGTCACTCCGTAAAGCCTGTAAAGATACCAGGTTTCTGAGCTTCTGGGAGGAGCTTGGCTGGCTACAATACATCTGTAATCCTTATTAATTATGTGGTTGTTTTGCAAATGCCTTCACATATTCACGTATATATTATCTCATATATACATGTGTATAAAGAGTTCGAAGTTTAATACATCTTAATGTATATTTTAATAATAAATTTTAGTAGTATAAGTACAGGAGCCAACAGAATAACAGCGCTGCAAATTTTTCCTTTATGCTGAGTTGGTTGCCTATCCACCTTTGCGGCACATAAAGTCACGTCCATTTCTTTTAATTATTCGTGTATTTTTCTGTAACTCATATATACTATGTGTCTGTAATTGAATAAAGAATGTATCTATCAACTTACATTACATTACACTACAATACCCGAAACGGGTACCTATTTCGGGTATACGGGGTACCCCTACAGTAACAATCGCGACTGTATTTTGCCTTGTGTAGTATTGTCTTTTACCTTTTCATTAAAATTTCATTCAACAACAATAACTCTGTCCTTTCCCCAGATTGTATCTACGTATAAGCGAACAATACCCTTCACTATAAAGAACGTTGGCTCGACCGGCTCTGCCACATTCTTCTTTGAATGGCAATACAACAGTTCTGTTAAGAAATACCTGCAGATCAGCGTGGAACCCAAGAGTGGTCACGTTGTACCGGCTGCCGATGTGGAAGGTACTATCTTTTACATTAAAACAAGTCCATGTACAGGCTTTCCCGGTCACATTCACAATAAGTAGTGAAAATATTTTGTTCAAATGTTTGTTGTATGGTTGTAATTGATTCCATACTTTGTTTTCAATTACAACCAGAAGATCCAATATTAAATATTAATTTTATATTGACATAGGCAATGCACAGACCTATTGAAAGTACTGAAGTGTAGAAGCGCGAAGAATGTACGAGGCCACAATGTCACAATTACAATAGAGTAGGTGGACAGTTTTAATCGGAACATTGTTAATATCATATTAAATCTATAAAACGCTGACTATGTTCTTGTGGCAACTGTAGTTTGCTCTTTTCATTGCGGGTTTTGGGCTATTGTCATGTGCTAAGACTTGTAGCACCTACATAGACCTATATAGATCTATTATGCTCGTCCTTTTTACAAGCTAGACCCGTTAGGGACAAGAATTGAGGGATATTCTTAGGAGCGATGGTTTTTATCTCCTTAGGATAAAGTGTATACTTTCCAAAGCAGATATTTCGTTTATACATGAGTGGGCTACAACCATATAGGATGTATAGTAGCGGTTCCTCTTCCACTTGGCAAAATCTGCAGTTTGTTTTTAAGTTGAGGCCTAATTTTGCCATGTGTTTATTCAATTTGCAGTGTCCAGTAAAGGTCCTAGTGATACATATATTGCGTGGTTTGTTTTACGAGTTCTGAGGTACATTCATTCTAACATCGAACGGTGGCATGTCTATTTTAGTTATAGTTTTATTAGAAATTAAAATAGAAATAACATTTATTCAAATAAACTCAATAGAAGCTCTTGAATAGTCTTTTTTTTACTACTTATTCGGAACGCAGATCAAATGAGCAAGAAACTTACGTATTGCTCTTTTGAATAGATGTTTTTTAAAATAAATAATTATACAATAACAGGTGAGGGGCATGCTATAATCAACATAGAAACCGCTACGCACTTATTCTTAGTGCAATCATATAATATTATATTTAGTGTAGTCAATAAGAATGTAGTGTTGTATTATTAATATAAATTTATATTAAAAATCATTGGGTTTTTATTTAGCACGCAATGATCCATATTATCAAACAAACACTGAAAGTCGAACAATTGAGATGCGTGTGCGCATTGCAAATTACGTTCTCACTTCAAAGAACGTATGCCCTTCATTTGTAATTTTCAATGATAATGTTCTCGTTTCAACATCGGATGTTATGTTATTTACATTTTAAAAGATATATATAATTAAGTGATGACGTAACAGTTTTTTTATGCATGAACATGGAATGGTGTACACACCTGCAGTAACGCTATAGTGAAGGATAATAAGGTAAGAATGAAGTCAGTAACTATTCACTAGGATATATTTTACAGAATTAAGTTTTATTTTAAGGAAGTCCATTTAATTAGTTACAAGAGTTATATTATTTTGTTTATTTCCACTACCATTAGCATATGTGAGACCACAAATATTCAGTGCGGAAACCTGACCACCGCTACTGGAAGCGACCGTTATTAGATCTACACTCAATCAGGCAATAAATAGAGTTCTGATGTAGCTGGGAAGCCTAGAGTTGATTGTTCGGCGACCAAACTATAATCTACTCTGTCTATTACTTGCTAGGAATTATCATTAATTAGATAGCTTGGTACATTACCAGCCCTAGTGTCATGAGGCCAAATAAAAAAAATCTATGTGAATAAATTAATTTTACTTTCAGATACTGTTTCTTTCGTTTACTTGTATTGCATGAATAATTGGCTTCTGCATTCTTAGATGGACAATGACAATTAGGAGTAGTGATGACCATAATATCACGTTGCACAATTAGTGATCCTTGAAAGAAAACAAATGAATTGGAGAAACAATGGTGACCATGAGAAATGATTATGAGTTTAACAAATGATTGATCATTCAGATGGACATTTAAAAACTATTTTTATTTTTAACAAGCTAGGTACACTATATTAAATAAATGTTAGCTCTTAAGGTATATATAATATGGGTCAATCCTTACTAATATTACAAATGCGAAAATAACTCTGTTTGTCTCACTTTCACTCCAAAACTACTGAATCGATTAAATTAAAATTTGGTACACAGATAGCGTAGTGTCATCATTTTTAAAGCTAGAATCATGAAACTTAGTTTTTAGGCTGGTGATTAAATATAAATAAATTCAAAGTTTGTAAAAATGTAACCCCCTTATGGGGGAAAAATTAAATGGAATAAAGATTTCGTTCTCTTTTTTTGGTTAGGTTACTGAAGCTAGTATGGTTATATAATAATGTGAAGTTGCCAGATTTAAATAAATAAAAAAAATAGGATCAAATGTTGACCACTGGGCAACCACTACTATATAACTAGACAACTAAAACTGTAACGTGAAAGTTAAGTGTGTCAGCACACAACTCCAAGGTTGGCATTGTTTTTTTTTATTTTTTTTTACATTCGACCGATCGACCTATAACACGTGCCAATAGCGACCAACATAATTATGTACCATCGATGATTGCTCTTAAGCTGCGTTCACCCACGATTTTTTTTGAGATAAAGTCTGTCTTTACTCGAACTATATTTACGTCACAATTCATCGGTCACGGTAAGGTAACCGACAGACTGATAGACAAACTTTCATAAATATTAATATAAATAGATACAGATTTTTTTACGTAACTTTAATGTCAAAGAAATTAACCCATAAGATCGAAAGTGTTAACCGGACTCTTGCATTGACGGCGTCTGTAGTACTTACTGGTTTAGCTCACCGCTTTACTTCCGATAGCCGCGTGTTCGATTCCTCGCATGGTACAAACATTTGTATTCTTAAATATGCTTGTTTGTATCACTCTGGGTGTTTCCTATAGTATAATATGTATGTATATACAAAAAAATATTTAACTATTTATATTAGCTGTCTAGTACTTATAACACAAACTCTGTTTACTGCTTACGACACAGTGCCCACTAGTTCAATGGCCTAGAGGGCGCTTTGCAGAACGCCATTTAAACTTCGAATGTATGTTTGATACTGTATCTCAAATAACAATCGTGAAGTTATATTTTATATTAGTATTTAATGGAAACATAAGGTTTTTTTATTGCTTACCAAAAATACTATACAATAAAGTTACATTAAATAGGTTCAGGTAACCTAATCGGAACGTGTGTTTTAGTTACAGTAAAAAAGAAAACAAATCAATCTAGTTGTCTTTTTATTATTGTAGAATGAAAGAGATACACAACACCTTATATCGTTATTCAATCACCAAGTAATTATAACAACTCACATGGTCCACTTAACAATACTAATAATTAAAATATCAATTTGTTTACGAGACACTGTCAAGATGTATATAAATGTCTATGATTTGTGAGTTTTAAAAATATATAGAGAGAGCACGGCACTAATAATAATAATGAACCTTATGTAAAATTACATTAAAGTATAATTTATTACACCTCGTGGCTAAAATATGGCACGAGATAATATCTTTTGTAATTTGCTCATAAATACTGACAGTATGACCTTTTCTCATTTTCTTATGTAAATGAAATGACAAGCACGCTGGCTAGCAATCCATCGACTATATTAACTACACCACAAATATCATGTTATCATGTAATCATGCCTGTGACGCCACTAAGATATTGCGTTTATGTCTCGAAATTTCACCCTTCACTATTTTTTTAAACGTCTGACAATTTTTCAGAAGATCGTCCTCCCGCCTGAGGGCCGACAGGGTGTGTGTGTTGGATTCTTACCCACTAAAAGATCAAACGGTTTACCTAGGAGCGCCATTGTCAGAGTTACGTGGTCGTGTGCATTCTATCGGGATTCTGACCTTATCTACACCTACAACCGAAATACACCTTTTTTTTATTGGATTGTTTGGCCTATTATCAGATGTTTGTAGCATCTGTAGCACTGCGACCTACATAGATCTCG